TTTCTTTCTTTCTTTCTTTCTTTCTTTCTTTCTTTCTTTCTTTCTTTTCTTTTCTTTTCTTTTCTTTTCTTTTCTTTTCTTTTTTCTTTTCTTTCTTTCTTTCTCCTAAATGCAAAATTTTATATCTCTGAGTGATGTACACAATGGTACTGTGCCTTCTTTGAAATGTCCTGCAGAGAACCAAACACCACAGATGAAAAGTTATGGAGATTTCTCCATGTAAACACTGAATAATCTTTCAGCGCAGAAAACACTCACAGATGTCAGGAAAATGGGAGTGGCCTCTTGTTCATAAAATGACATATAGTCCACCTCTCTTCCTTTCCTATTTGGCCATATCCTCTGAGAGACAAATCTGATTTTTTTCCCAAATGTATTATTTGAGTGATGGAAAGCTTAATTAAACCAAGTTGTTTGCACTGGCTGGTGAGTCATGTTCTTTCCATTCTGGAAAAAAATAGGTCTCCATTACTAGTGAATGATGTTGAAACTTAAAAACAAAACTGCAGGTAGTTGGGTCTTGGGAGGTTCATCATTATATCACTTTGGATTGTCTCATGTTCCAATCAAAAAGAATTGACTTGTGTGCTGTACTCAGTGTCAAAGTATTAGTCCATTTTCTAGTTAAAAATAGTTTCTATATGCTTGCTTTTTTTATTCCTATCTGTTTCCTGGATGACCCGGAGAATCAAAACATGGTTCTTAATCATCTGGGATCATAACTTAGTTGTTGAGTTGACACAAGTTATATAAATGCTTTAAATAAATTACATAAATATGCCTTCTTAGATTCAGCAGAAAGGCATTGAATTGGCCTGTTTCTGCTTGTAAATATCTGGGAAGATATTGGCTGTGGCTAAAAGCACATCAAGCACACAGGTTTTTATATTTCTGTTATTCAGTTATTCATTTCAGGAAGGCAGTGGAATCCCTTGAACACAGGTAGACTTCGAATTATGATCACAATTAAGCCCAAAATTTATGTTCCATAGCGAGACATTTGTTAAGTGAATTTTGCCCTGTTTTAAGACCTTTCTTGCCATGGTTGTTAAGTGAATCACTGCAGTTCTTAAAGTTACTAACATGGTTGTTAAGTGAATCTGGCTTCCCCATTGACTTCGCTTATCAGAAGGTTGCAAAATGGGATCCCATGGCCCATGATCCCATTTTGCAAGCTTTGCAACATTTTGAAGGACACTGCAACCGTCATAAATATGAGCCAGTTGCCAAGCATCTGAATTTTGATCACATGGGGATGCTGTAACGGTCGTGTGAAAAATAGTCATAAGTCACTTTTTTCAGTGCCACTGAAAACTTTGAACAGTCACTAAATGAATAATTGTAAGTTGAGGACTACCTTTAGGTGCTTGGAGGTGATTTAGGAATGAATTAGAGTGAAAAGAGTAGAAGTTAGACTAGACAGCAATACAAAAGGTAGAAAAATAACCTGGATAGAGATACTGAGTATGTTTTCATTTCTTCTGAAAGTGTTCATAATTTGTGTTGGCTTCTGAATTTACTGCTATCTGCAGGTGGCCAACCTGCAGTATGTTACGAGCTTGTTCTACTGATAGGAAATAGTAACCTACATGGAGAAAACCATGTGTTTGAAAGATGGCTAACAACGTATCCAGTCAATTTAATATGCAGATTTACAAAAGCGTATATGATTTAAATTCCCTTTCAGGACTGTTAGAGTTGAGCTGTAGAAGGTTGGCACACACACACAAAAAAACCCATGTGCTATAAGGCTGCAAAGGCACAATTTGACATCTGGGATGAGTATGATATCTGATGTTGTTATTCCTCTCTTAGGAAAAGATTGTGGTGGAATCTTCACAGCTTCAAAACATGTTTTTAAAACTCCCGGGTACCCAAAGGAATATGAAGATGACCAAGTCTGTTATTGGCACGTAAGAGTGAAGTATGGCCAACGAATCAAAATCCAGTTTCTTGACTTTGACCTTGAGGATGATACCGCCTGCATGGCTGATTACTTGGAAATATACGACAGCTATGATGATATAAATGGATTTGTGGGCAGGTAAAATGTTCAAATCTTTCATAATACAAGATGTACAAATTGCAAATGGTTGGGTGAAGGGATCAGAGAAAAAGCCAAGTTTTTTTTAAATTCCACCCAGTCTCAAAGGATTATGTATCATGTTTACACACACAGAAGCCAAGCTAATAAGCATATATCAGTACAAACCTAGCTAATAAGTGCCAAAGAAATACTAATAGCCACACACTTTTTCCTTCTTTTTTCCACCCACTCCTTCTTTGTCCCTTACCCTGGGGAGCCCATCTTAGACCTAGTCCTCACCATCTTCCAAACTCATGACACCTGCTTAGAGAAAGCTGCAATCCCAATCAATCTCCTCTCAGTCCTGATTGTAATCATCTATTTCCCCACTTATTCTTTTTCTCCCTTACCTCTCACTGTGAAGTATTTCTGATTCCAATAGGAAACTCCTGGTTTTTTTTTTTTAAATACTTTTCAGCTGCAGTCAGAATGACAGTGACGAAGGATTATGGCAGATGAAGTTTGGACCCACCCAAAGATCTTTGGCTTAACTAATCTTCTTCCATGGAATTGTCTTCACTTCCTTTATCTTAGCAAAGATTAGTGGAAAGCCTCCCCACCCACCCCAGTATTTCATGTCCCACCCGAACAGAAAGGGAAAAATGAGGGAAATGAGTCCCTTCTCCTGTGGGCATCCTCGGGAGGAAATGCCAATTTGTGACTTGTAGATATTAATTTTAGGCTCTAGTTTTATTGGCCAGGCATGGTGGGATAGGGTAGCTCTTTAGATACTGCATCAATTACTGCTTTCTGACTTTCCTTTCTTTAAATGCTCTCTTGAGAATGCGGGCATCAGAGTAACACCAGTTGGAAAAGTGTCAAATGTATATCATTCTTATGGATTTTTTTCATCCTGCTGATTTATCCTCTGGGGAGCCGAATGTATTCTGTTGGACCTGCTTCTGATTCAGTCCAATGTGATTTTTGATATATTCTGACACAGGCTATGATAAACATACAATGTAGCACTTGGAGCTACTTTACTGAAGGAGCCCTTGGATTTCTGCCCACCAAGGTGTTGTTTTTTTTCAGGCAGGAAGTGCTGTAACTGAGCCCGCTGATTGTGTTTCAAGCTTCTCCAGAAGCTGGATTTGAACAATTCTGAACCTAGGGTTGGTTTTTCTCTCACCCTCTCACATATATCTGATTACAAATGTGTAGGGGCATGTAATACACCAATGTTTTAAAAAATACATTATTCAGTAAAACATTTCCTTCCCATACTAAGAAAATTCTCCAAGGATGCCTGTAGGGCAGCGGTCCCCAAACTTTCCAGCCTGGTGGCCCAGCACAGGGGGAGGGGGAGTGGCAGATGCACACACAGCTCTGTGTATGCGAGCGATGGGTGCACATACCCTTCACTCGGGACAATGGAGCTTCGTGCGCGAGCAGAAGGTACTTGCATTCCGTGTGACACTCCACTCACACGAGCGAAGGGCGCTTGTGATCATGCACGGAGCTCCACTCGTGAGAATGGAGCTTTGCGCACAAGTGCAAGCGCCCTCCGCTTGCACAAATGGAACTTCATACACGTGTGCTTGCTGATTTTTCCCATGGCCTGGTTTTGAATAGGCCGCAGGACAGTACTAGGCCGCAGCCTGGGAGTTGGGGATCTCGGCAAAAGGATATTGTCAAAAAGTCAAGATGGTGGATATCCCATCTTTATTATTTTTATAAATAATTCAAGGTGGCAAACATACTTAATACTCTTTCCTATTTTCCCCACAACCACTCTGTGGGATGGAGTGGGCTTAGAGAGAGTGACTTGCCCAAAGTCATCCAACTGGCTTTCATGCCTAAAGTGGGACTAGAATTCACAGTCTTCTGGTTTCTAGCCTGGTGCCTTAACCACTAGACTAAACTGGCTCTCTAAAACCACAAAAAAAACAAGAGGAGCTTGAACTGTACCATTGTTGCCTCCATGTTTGTTTGTTTGTTTTTACTACATCCTGCAGACAGTCCTTTTGCTTAAGGAGCTAAATATATCCCACTAGATGTAAGATGGATGGAAGGAATTGGAGAACAGATGCTTCAGATAATATTTTCTTACTCTTACAAATTAACACCATCCACCTATTTTTCCTACCCTTCATAGCAAGATTTAGTAGCAGATGTGCTAGGCATTTTTAAAAAATATTTTGTAAAGTGTGTTAACCCAAACAGAACACTTTTCTTTTAACTGCTCAAGCAGTAGCCAAATCTTGTCCAATGTTTGCGTGGCTACTCAAAACATAACTCCTAATGATCCCTGCCTGCCTGTGCATTGCTAATGATCTCACACCGGAAGTATTATCTCTGATGCCACATGGACCAGTAACCACAGAGAGCTTTTGAATCAGCTACGCAGCCCTTGAAAAGGACACAGCTACTTTAAAGCACCAATGAGAGATGCTTAATTCAAGTAATGCATTATCTTTCAAATGTTTCGTGCAGCTTTAGCATTTAGGTTAAGCTTATTTTTATTTTATTTATATCCTACCCTTGTTATTTTTTTATAAAGAACTCATGCAATCTTAGGTAAATTAATAGCACTCCAACGTTTGCTTGGAGCTAATTAGAGCTTGATCCCTGAATTTGAGAGATTTTTACCTTTGCAAAGGGTTTTTTTGCCCAGCCAAAAACACAAATCAAGTAATTCAGACAAAGCAAAAAGCATTTATTAAGGGGGTGTGTCTTTTCCTAAGGTACAGATACATACTTTTTGTATATGATACATCAGAAAGCAAGTGATCAAACAATAAAGACATTGATTATTATTTGGGACTTGATCAACAAAAAACATTGATTTTAGACAACATTCAGCAATTAGTAAATGTATGGTTTACATTACTCTTTCTCAGCTGGACTACATCTTTCTTAAAATTTGCTAGTGTATTCAAGGATTTTTTAGCATACAGCTCTCATTATATACTGAAAAATATATAATGTTAAATATATATGTTACTGAAAAAGCAAGTTCTCACATACCAAAGAAATGGCCTTGACTGAAGAGAGAAAAACATTTTAATTTTCTCAAAGTTAAGAGGCATTAGACTGCCATGTTAAAAGTGATGTGTTTTTTTAAATGCTAAAAAAAAGCCTAAAATTTGAGGTAACATCCTCGTCCCCTTGCCTACTTTCACTTTAAAAATAATAATTTTGAGACTTCTAGTAATGGAAAATGTATCTATCAGGAGGATACAGTGAAATATTCAGGAGTAAAAAAATAATGGAGAAAATACCTTATTGAACATCTTGAACATTAAACACTTCTTGAACACTTCTTGAACATTAAAGGATCAAAGCCTCCTTGTGTGAGGGGAGCTAACTCTTTGGCAACCACATTTGAAAATATGTTGTATTCATTCCCACAAAATGGCTGTTGGATGGGCCTGACCATTCACAAAACGTCTGCCAAACATTGCTTTACAAAAAGCTACCTGTTGCAAAATCCAAAGCATCCAACACTCGTCTCATTTGCCATTTGATTTTGGGGGGAAAGTAGCAAACATGTCATTGTTATTCAACTGACTTGTAATGTTATGTTTTTCAGATATTGTGGTGATGAACTACCAGATAGCATCGTTAGCACAGGTAATACAATGACCACAGATGAAATTGCAATATAACATTTCCCTCTCTGATTCAACGAGCTAGAAGCCACGAAATCTGAGTTGCATTAAGCTGAATGATCACTTGACTATGGGCCATCAAGTCATTGTAGGTTTTCTCCATTATGATCTATCTTTGACCTGGTTTTTCAGTTCTTCCATAACCACATTCATTGTTACTGTAACCGAATCCATCCACCTTGTTGCTGGTCATCCTCTTATTTTTCCACCTTTCCCAGCATTATAGCCTTCTCCAGAGATAAGTATTCCCATAATATGTCCAAAGTAAGATAATTGGTGGCTGGTCATTTGTGTCTTGAAGAGAACTCTGGGTTGATTTGTTCAATGATCCATTTGTTTTTTTTTTTGGCTGTCCATGGTATTCTTGGGAGCCTTCAATTTCAAAGATCAAATGTCAATACTCTTCCTATTTCTTCAAAACCCACAACGATAACTAGATGGCAGCAAACATTCCCTTATATTCTTATTGCCCTCTAATGATCATCTTGATGTTTTCAGCAGCAATTTGGTAGCCCTACATATAGCATTACCTTAAGGTAGGAAAGACACCACTAAGTTTAATCATTTTGTCAGACAAACATTCTTCAGATTTTTTTTTCAACTTTTCAGTCTAGCATCCAACCTCTGTGATTTGCTGGTGGTATCCCATCCAAGTACTGATGAAAGATCTGTAAGAACCCTGAAGGAAAAAAAATTCTATACCTTTCTTTTAAATCCAAAAATGTTTCCATTGTTTGTATAAATAAAAAAGGAATGGTAATATTTTATCCCATGCATACATGGTCTCTCTTTTTCTTTCTCCAGGAAATGTTATGACACTGAAATTTTTGTCAGATGCTTCAGTGACAGCAGGAGGCTTTCAGATTGAATACACTGCTATCAACTCAACTAAAAAGATGATAAACCCCAAAGCTACTACAAAGTATTTTCCAGGAAAATTTGGCATTGTGTAAAATAATTTTTCAACGAAGAAAGATAAAAACCTGTAAATGCTACACCTTGTGGAAGTTGCCAACTTTCTCCCAGAAGAACCCATTTCCACGACTTCTGCCCTCTCCTTCCATTCCTTTTATTAGCCATTAATCCAGGTACCTTCTGCTGAACTGAGCTGAGCCCTCCCTCCTTTTCTGTTCCTGCTGAATCTGCTTTTTAATATTTTGAGTCAAGGGTCTGGGGGAGTGATACTCGACTGTGGTAGTATCCTCCTTTCTGCTTCGGAGCTCCTGTGTAGTATCTTTTTTTCTTCTCGTTTTTTTGTACTTTTTTCCATTCTTGCACTTTTCAGCTTTCTTTTTTTCTTTGCATTAGTTTGCATCCAACACTTTTTATCTTATTTTTCTTAAAACTTTTTAACAAAAGCATAAGACTGGAAATGCAAAAATATAACTGGAAACCTCTGATGGATTTTTTTTAATAGAAAACAGAAAACAGTGAATTTATGATTTTGATGATTAGACAGGATTATAGAAAGACTTTGTTGTAACTTTAGAGAAAGAAGTACATTTATAATTGTACATATAACTGCTGTAAAGAAAATCAGAAGCCACTTGTATCTTTTTTCTTTCTTTCCTATTTTACTTTTTTCCTTTCTTGCACTTTTGGCTTTTGTTTTGATTTTTCGTTCTTTTTTGTTTTTACTTTACATTAGTTTGTACTAGTTTTTATCCTTTTAAAATCTTTTAATAAAATTATATTTTTAAAAAAACTGCTCTGTGGTAATTCCCTTAGTTGTTATACAACAGGGATTTTCTTGAGCCAGAAAGTTGTGAAGTATTCACTCACTAATTTTTTCTAAAAACTACCCTGCATTTGATGTATTATTAAAAAGCTGAGGTATTAAATATTTAAAGGAATACCTTTGGGGTCCTTTAATTTAACTGAGGAGGAAGAGGCAGACCTCACAACATCTGTAGGCAGACCTCACAACATCTGTTTGCTTGCTTATTATTTTTGGGGTGAAGGATGACTTCAAGTCAGTGTTGACTCCTAATGACTGCCTGGACAGATCTCTGCAGTTTTCTTGGCAAGATGTCAGAAGTGGTTTGCTACAGCCTTCTTCCTAGGGCTGTGAGAGTATGATTACCCCAAGTTTTCCTTAATTCAGACTATTGTCTTATGTCAATGGATATGAATAAATCCCTTTATTGATTAAGTTGAGTTTGCATAATGCAATATACAAATATTAGATAAATCACCTTTTACTCAGCAACTGACTGTTGGAAAGCCTTCTGGTCTGCCTTTAAGTTTACAAGAATGTTTTATTTTTCATTTTGTTGTTAAATATTTTCTAAGGTTTGTTTCCAAGTCTTACAAAGATCCCTAGGATGTCATTGTGGCACTTTCCACAATCTACCACAAAATTAATGTAAATATAAGTGTCTTGTCTGAACTACTTCATTTTACAGAATATTTCAAGGGGATGATCAGATAGAAAATTCACTAAATGGGAGTCTGAATTAAAGTCCTAAGCCTACCATACTCTGTGTGTGTGTGTGTGAGAGAGAGAGAGAGAGAGAGAGAGAGAGAGAAATTAAGGCTTCATATGTTCTTGTGTAACAGCTGATTTTACTCTCAGACGAGCACACATAAGAATTTAATCCATAGATTATCTGATGATGCTAATTAAATTCTGCCATCTAGCGGTTTCAAAGAGCAGCATCCAAAGTACCAGTAGCATTTATATAAACGGGACACAGAGGGAAATAGGATGGAAAGGTAATTATGTTCTCACATCAGCACTACCATAGTTTGTCCAATTAACAGGGTTGCTTAAAACTTCAAAATAGCCCTTCACTCTGATGAAATTTCATGCAGCTGCTGATTAAAGCAAACAAGCACTCTCTTTCTTCTCTTATAAAAGAAAACTGGTGTACTACAGTACTACTGTATGCTTAACCTTTCTCTGTTGGCAGTTTAGTAGCCTTGACCAGACTCCTATGTATACTTGAAAGCTAGGGCTATCCACACTACAAATATCCATAAGATGATTTGACAGCCAAGAATCAAACACTCACTCTCCCTTCCTGCCATTCATGGTTTTGGGGTTTTGCTGATAGCCTTAAATATTTTTAGCAAAGAGATAAATATGCAAATACATTAAAGGCTCTTTAACTGCTGAAACTGCTGGAGGGCATGCTAGAGGAAACAGGAAATACCTTGATGAGGCAGGTCCTAGTGGCTTCTCCCACCACTTCTATATCATGAAGAAGACAAAGAAGAAGCCTTCACACAAGTCTGCTGATTAGCCCAATATTTTGGGTTCACAAAAGACAGAATCACAAATCAACCAGACTAGATGGATCATACTATGCATCATACCAAGCCTAAAATATTAAGCAAGTTGCATTTGGTGCTGCTGTGTAAATCCAGGCTCAAGAATTAGAGTTTTTCCAAATTGAAAATACAAAGAGCAAGAAATGAAAAACATCTCTAAATCCCACCAATTCAGCCCGTTTCCCTATATATTAATAGGACTCAACAAGTGAATAAAAATGCCAAATCCTGTCTGAACGTCTGACTGACTGTGCAACTAGCCAGGATAAGTTGCCTACCCCATTCCTTTGCCTCATATTCACAATTCTTAATTGTTCTAGAAGCTAAGACCCCTAAGCTAAGAAAACATGTGGAAAGCAAAACACTATATAACCTACTTGTCCAACTGGTTTCCAGCTTTTTTTTTCTTTTTCTGTCTTTTAACAGGTAGGTATTTTTTAGTTTTGAGTTAAGCCAGCCATTAATAATAATAAAAACAAAAGAGCACTTGCAGAAGACATTTTTAAAAATTAAAGCTATGGACAAGTCAGATATAAAAATTCAACAGAATTCCTAGAAACTGGCACTTTGACAAATCAGCCATTAAAAGGCAAATTGAGAAAAGCTTTATCTATAAACTACTCGCTCTCTTACAGTATTCAACAACCAGATCAGTACTAGATAAAAGAGGGACAATTATACCCTTACCAAGGCTGAAAGGCAAATTACCATACCGCTTAAAAATCAGGCAACAAACTTGACTCCCCCAGGCTCTGATGATGTCCTCTTCTGATTAAGGTGAACAAATAACACGTATATGCATTTAATTAAGAGGTGTGTAAAGAGTTGCAGTTAAGTTTACAATGTATCCAAACATTCTTAACCGAACCTTCAAATGAAAATTGCCAAATTGATTCTTGTGCTTGTGCATACTTTTGACCCGTTTGAAGTTTTCAACAGAACCAACTCCACAATTCTGATCTCCCTCCAACCACTCAAATTGGATTTGGACTGAAGTTCAGTTTTAGGTGCAAAACATGTTTGAACTGTGAGCTGCTAACACTCCATTTTAATCAAATCTATTAAACGCTTCTCACAATTCCGGGTTTGCTAAGAAACCGCAACTTCTACATACATGTTGGTCACTCAGTGGATGAAGTGGATGGTGCCAAGTTTGTGCGCTAGCACATTTAGATGTAAAATTGATGCATATTTATTAATCTATCAACTTAGCTAAAGTCATCTTAAAGTTCTATTTTATGCAAACTCTACTCATGATTTGCTTTAACCCTGTTGCTACTGAATTGGGGGCATTAACTCAAGTTTTGCCGGCTTAGATCAACGTTGACGGTCTGGTTCTACCAATTTATTCCCACCATCCAGTCAGAGCTGAAGAAGCTTCTTGGATGAGAAGTTGAGAAATGTCTTCAAAGAAAAACCAGAAAAGTCCAAATTTCTCTTGAGAAAGCACCTTTGGGACAACCATGACCTGGATGACTGAGAATCTCCCTAGATATTGTCCAATTCATGCATTCCATGCTTTCAAAGCTTAGTCTGGGGGCTTATTTTGGAGAAAGCTCGACCGATCTTACTGAGTGGAGTGAAGGCGAGTCCTAAAATGAGCGCGGGTTGCAATATCAGTTTAGTCTACAAGACAATGAAATGAGTCGAATCGCCCACTCAAGTTTGGAAAGCGCCTTTGGCAGGCGCAAAACGCTTTCCAAACACCAAGCACCTCCTTGCCTTCATTTTAAGGAGGAAGGCAAGGAGGTGCTGGTGTTTGGAAAGCACAAGGGAGGAGACAGCAACGGCCGGCATCGTGGATCAAACGCCCCGGCTGCCGTTTGCAGTTGGCGAAGAAAAAAACCGCGACCCGCAACGCCTTCGATTCCACAGTAGGGAGAAAAGGGCGGTTTGGGGGCGGGAGGCGGTGAGGGGAAAGAACGTGTCGATCGACGATTCCGCACTCTCCCTCGCCACGGCGCGGGCGGGGCAAGAAGAGCAGAGGCGTTCGACCTCTCGGCGCTCTGCCTCTCAATAGTCCTCGCCCCGCCTCCTGCCGCGCGTTGATTGGCCGAGAGCGGCCCTCCCTTCCCCCCCCAAGGCTCCGGCTCCCGCGCTTCGCCATCTTACCCCCCGGGAGAAAAGGAACGCGAGCGCGGGAACGGCGTTCGAGAACGGGTGGCGGCAACTTCACAGCCGTTTTTTTTTTTCCTCCCCCTCCCCACTCCTCGAGCCGTTAGTCCGCGATGGGACCCTGCGACGGTTCAAGCATGCGGGCCCTGCTGGAGACCCTCGAGGACCCAAGCGCCTCGCCGGGGGTGTTGACAGACGCGTGGCTGACCCTGACGAAGTGAGTCCCGACTACGACTCCTTGTGCTCTCCGCCATAGGGATGCGAGGAGACGTGCCCGGCCAGCCGCGTACAGGATATTTCAAAGAAAAACCAAACCAGAACCAAGTTCGTTTTGAGGGCCGGCGTTATTCTTGGTGCTCCTACGGGACTGCCCGATAAGCCTATTTATATATAATATATATGCATGTAATCCAGACACCTCTTTGCCGGATCCGTGGGGTTCCCGAGAGTCTCTCTTCCAATTGCAGCGCAGCATCCTGAGGCTATGCGGCTTCCTCAGCCTTCGCCACCTCGGATTTCTTTCACCCTAACCCTCCGAAATGGAGTTATTGATGATGATGATGGTGGTGGTGGTGAAGATGATGAAAAAAGGGGGAGAGGGGAAACCTTTGTCCCCTGCCATTCTTAGTCTTGCCTTGAAAAGGTCCCACAAGTCACATGCTTTCTCTGCTTCTTCTTTTTTTAAAGTTATTTCTTGGGTTTGAAACGTGCCAGCAGGAATTCTGTGGGTGTTTCTTTTAAAATGCTGTAGAGAAGAAAAGATATTTTTTTTAGGGTGGGTTGTTTTCTTTTTGGACATACCGTTGCAGGGATTTTTCTGACATCCTGATGATTCTTATTTGCACTGTTTATTTGATTTGATTTGATTTGTCATTCGCTTACAAGATAATAGGTATAAGTATAAACATAGTTATGAATACATGGATACATATAAGAAAAATTAAAAGAAACAATAGGACAGGGACATAGGCACATTGGTGTGCTTATGCACGCCCCCTACAGACCTCTTAGGAAAGGGGTGAGGTCAATAGTAGACAGTCTAAGGTTAAAGTTTTTGGGGTTTGGGGAAGAAACCATAGAGTTAGGTAGGGTATTCCAGACATTGACCACTCTATTGCTGAAGTCGTATTTCCTGCAATCAAGTTTGGTGTGGTTAATCTTGAGTTTGTATCTAGTCTTTGCTCTTGTGTTGTTATGGTTGAAGTTGAAGTATTCATTGACTGGTAGAACATTGCAATGTATGATTTTATACACTATACTTAGATCGGTCCGAAGGCGGCATAGTTCTAGGTTTTCTAGGTCTAGAATTTTGAATCTGGTGGCATAAGGTATTCTACAACGAGTAGAGGAGTGGAGAACTCTTGTGAAATATTTCTGGATTTTCTCAACTGTGCTAATATCAGATACGTAATGTGGGTTCCAGACTGATGAGCTGTATTCAAGTATTGGTCTAGCAAATGTTTTGTATGCTCTAGTTAGTAGTGTGATATTACCAGAGAAAAAGCTACGTAGGATTAGGTTAACAACTCTTAATGCCTTTTTGGCTATGTAGTTACAGTGGGCTCTAGCACTTAGGTCATTTGAGATGAGTACTCCAAGGTCCTTTACAGAGCTTGGATCATCAACAAAATCTTGACTATTCAGCTTGTATTTTATTTTCTGATATTTTTTTTTGCCAATATGTAAGACAGAGCATTTATTTGTTGAGATTTGAAGTTGCCATTTGTTTGACCATTCTGATACATAGTCAAGATCTTTTTGAAGGGTAGCAGTATTGTCTGTGGTGTTGAATAGCTTTACATCGTCAGTGAAGAGATTGCGGTTGCTCTTAATATGATCACAGAGGTCATTTATGTAGAGTATGAAGAGAGTTGGTCCTAGAACACTGCCTTGGGGGACACCACTGTTGACAGGTACAGAATTTGATAGGACACTACCAATTTTGACCATTTGTTGCCTGTTTGACAGGAATGCTTCTATCCAGTTATGCAGGATACCATAAGATTTTAGTTTTAGGAGTAGTTTGTCATGTACCACTGAATCAAAGGCTTTATAGAAGTCTATGTAGATTGCGTCTATTGCTTTGCCCTGATCGAGTTGTGTAGTCCATATGTTTTTGCAGTGTAAGAGTTGCAGATTACAGGATAGTTTTTTTCTGAAACCAAATTGTTTATTAGAGAGTAGGTTGTTTGTCTCTAAGTGGAGGATAATAGATTGGTTAATAATTGATTCCATGACTTTACAGGTGACGCAGCATAAGGAGATTGGTCTGTAATTTTCAACTAGGCTGGGGTCTCCCTTTTTGAAGATGGGGATGACTGTGGCTTGTGACCAGAGTTTTGGCAAGGAGCTGGTCCTGAAAGATTTTTCAAAGATTATGCTTAGAGGTTCGGCTATGGCAGTGGATAGCTTTTTTAAGAAGTAGGCACATATTCCGTCCGGTCCAATAGATAGAGATGGTTTTAGATTGCGAAGTGCTTTTTCAACATTGTCTTCTGTAAAATCGATATGTATTAGATCATTGTAGTTGTCTGTGGTTCGACTAGGAAATACTGGGCATGATCCATTGCTGTTACCAAATACTGAGCCAAAGAATGTGTTAAAGAGGTTGGCTTTAATAGTGTCGTCGTTGCAGTCTTTTCTGTTTTTCTTTTCTGAATCGCAATTTGACTGGTGAAGCTTTGGTGTGGGGCACCTTTTCTTGGAATATTTGTTTGCTGCACAATCGAAGGCAAAAAATATTCTGATAATGGCATAAGGGAAAAAGACATTAGTGCCATATCCCATTACAGCTTTTTTTTTAAAGGTACTGTTTATGTGTCATCAAATAGATTCATAGGATGATCTGTTCCCAATCTAGTTCTTCAGGTACTTGATGAGTACATTGGTGTACCCATCACTAATGTCATTGAGTCCATCCATTTTGATGTTGGTCATCCTCTTCTTTTTCTTTCCACTTTCCCAGCACTGCAGACTTAGCTAGGAAGCTGTAGGTGTTCACACAATGTGTCCAGAATATGAAAATTTGATCACAGGTGGTGCAGTGAAAACTCTGGGTTGATCTATTCTGTGATGCATTTCTTTTGGAGGGGTTTTTCCCCCTTGCTTGCTATCCAAGGTACACTCAGGAGACTTCTCCCACACAAAAGTTCAAAAGTATCAGTTCTTTTCCTTTCTTCATTTTTCAAAATCCAACTTTCACTTCAATAGTGTCACAGGGAAGACTTGCCTGCACAGTTCTGATCTTTGAAGATACAGATAGCTCCAAGCATCTGCATATATTTTCCAGGGTCTTCATGACTACTCTACCAAGAACTGAATTGAGAAGTATTTCTTGGCTGCTGCTATTTGTACTGTTGCTAATTGATCTTAAATGACAAGCTTATCCATCACATCAGTATAGATAAGTCCTCATTTAGTGACCACAATTGGGGCTAGCAACTTGATCATAAATTCTCCAAAGCACCTGAAGCCAGGGTAAGAAGCAATGGATGGAAACCAATCAAGGAGAGAACCAACTTAGAAATAAGGAGAAATTTCCTGACAGAACAATCAGTGGAACAGCTTGCCTCCAAAAGTTATGTGGGTGCTCCAACACTGGAGGTTTTTAAGAAGAGATTTAGACAACCATTTATCTAAAATGGTATAGGGTTTTCTGCTTGAGCTAGAAGACCTCCAAGCTCCCTTCCAACTGTTATTCTGTAAAGCAAAGTGGTCACTGCTAATTGTGCTTTTCCTTCAGCTTTGCTTTGTAGATCTGCAAAGGTTATAAATGCGAGCACTGGTTACAAAGTTACTTTTTCATCACCATCAGAACTATGAATGTGAAATAGGCAGTCATTATACAAGTCTACTTGTATCTTTATTTCCAATTCTAAAGCTGGTTGTTGTACCTGTTGTCATTAGTTTGGTGTCCTTAATTTTAATTCCGTTTTTTTACTCTGTTCCTTGACTATTTACTAGAGCTTGGAGATTCTTTGCATTATTAGTAGTACCATCAACAGTGCACATATAATTGATACTTATTTCTCTAGTTTTAAAACCATGCTCGTCTTTTCTCATCCCATTTTCTTTTAATATATATTCAGCATATAAGTTGAATAAAATGAGAATATATAGCCTTGCTACACTCCTTTGATAACCTGAAGCCAGTCTGACATGAACAACCTTAAAGGCCTTACTATAATTAATGAAGCACACAGATACTTCCTTTTGGTTTTCTTTGGCTTTCTCAGTTATACAGGATACATCAGCAATAATGCTTTGTGTTCCTTAGCTTTTTCTAAAACTGGTTTGTCATCTTTTCCAGGTAGGGCTGTAATCTTCATTATTTTGTTAATGTGAACATAAGGGATATTGTATGATTTTATTTATTAATCAGATTTATATGCCTGCCCATCTTGCAAGAATGAGCAATATACAGCAATCAGTAGACACAATAAATATAAAAATAATCATAAAAATAGTCATTATTTAAAAAATTAAAAAACACAAAGAAATGTAAAATATAGAAACTTAAGCAGAGAGATTAAAAACTCAAACTAAGAAAGTTTGCAGTTCCCTGGGGACCCCAGGTTTGCTGACACAACCAGGTCTTGAGGGACTTCTAGAATGATAAGTGGAATAGACCTAATATGACTTGAGGAGATAGGGGAAATATTCCATAGAGCAGGTGCCAGAGCAGAGAAGGCCTGCCTTCTGGGGTCTACCACAAGCAGGTCCCTGATAGATGGTGCCCACAACATGCCTTCTCTGCCACTTCTAATGAGATAGGCTGATGTAATTGGGAGAGATGATCCATGGGATCCAGATCACCTGGTCCCATGCCATAAAGGACTTTAAGGGTTAAAACCAGCACTTTGAATTGGACACAGAAGCAAACTGGTAGTCAATGCAGCTCTTGGTATGGTGATGTAATGTGTGTTCTGTTAGGTACAGACATAACTGCCTGTGCTGCTGCATTCTAAATCAGTTGAAGCTTCCTGATAATTCTTCAAGGGAGCACTATGTAGAGCACATTACAGTAGTCTAGAAAAAAAAAAAGAATGATAGTTTCCATACTCTGTAGTCTCTTTCGTGCACGCTCTCTCTTTCCCCTCTCATTCACTGAAATGTTGAGTGACTTCCAATTTGTTGTCTACTGTGTAGTTCTGTAAATTTAATGGCATAGTTTGGTTAAACCTTGACTGATTTTCCTTCTGTTTGCTTGCCATATTTCAATCAGTATTCCATCTTGTAGCCTTCCAATCTGGTAATGACTGGGAGTACTTGTCTAACTTCATCTCCTAATACAAGAGGTTCTTGTGAGTAGGGTTGTGAATAGAATGAGTGTTGCTTAAACTTTTTTCTCTTAAGATCTCTTCCCACTTTAACAAATTATGAAGGATCCCAAAAGATATTTTCTTTATACCACGGTACTTTGGAACTCATTAATTTGTTCCAGGAGACGCAATGAGTACCAAACATTTTTTCCCCATAAGGAATAATGTAGTGAGTCATAAGGAACCAACACTGACAGGTTCTAATTTATGCATTGAGTACCAAATAAATGATGAGTATCGGGGAAATTTTTTTGCATCAAAATGTATTGAGTACCAAATCTGATGAGTTTCAAAGCAGTTGAGTACCAAGGTATCACTGTATAGGTTTTATTTATCAATATTTACTATATTCATAAATTAAAAGGAATAAATTTACTGCCATTTGCAGATCTTATAATACTGCTCTTCTAACTGTTCTCTTTAAATTACCTGTTAAACTTTCTGGGATTTTTGTCTTGGCTTTGGCTTATCTTCTCTCGTAATTTTCACTGTTTGTTCTGACTTCCAATTTGCTTTCTTGAAAGCATGAGATAAAAAGGGAAATATGATTAAATATGGTTTACACCATTATTTGTTGTACCATGTCATAAATGTATATTCTGACAAACCATTTTTGCTCCCCCCCCCCCCCCCATTCCTACATATTTCATACATTGCCTTTTGTTCTTTAACATTCTCATCTCTTTTTTGGAATCTTAGCAACTGTTTAATGGCAATTTTCAATCATTATTGAAGTAAAGAAGTAAAAAATAAAATGCAACAGTACTTGCAAAAGTAAAATGCAAGTACTATGAAAGAAGTAAAATGAAAGTTTGTTATGCAAAGGAAATGCCCTTTGCGTAACAAACTATTGCATTTTACTTCCTTCCTCGTACTCATTAATTTCTATGTTCAGTCTATGTTAATTCAGCACCCATTCCTTGTCTATGGAGATTCTCAATCATCCAAGTCATGGTTGTCCCACAGGTACCTTTCAAAAGACAACTGGGTTTTCTTGGGTTTTTTCCCCTTGAAAGCATTTCAATTCTCATCCAAGAGAACTAAAGAAGTTTCTTGGATGAGAAGCAAAACATTTTCAAGAGAAAAACAACCAAGAAATTCCAGTTGCCTTTTGAAAAGCACCTTTGGAATACCCAGTCCTTCTTTATTTATTTAACTTCTTATTTAACACATGCACTCCCACTGGGTTCAGCTTCTCATGACATATGACCAACTATTTGTTCCATGTAGCAAAGTCACAGAAGCACACCCTTATGCCGAGTTGTTTTTACTTTTGTCAATGCATTTATTTTTATCAGCAGGCCACTTACCACTCACTATTTTGTATTTGTGTTTTTGATATTTTTCTACTTATTTTCCCATTGTCAATAAACATATGAAATCATTTGCCACTTTCTCTATCAGATACCTTGGTCTTTAATACATTCTTTTTCAGATCCTCTTTACCATCATAGTCTTTACAACAGTGATCCCCAACCTTTTTTATGCCGCGGCCCGGTACCGGCATCAGCTGGGCGCTGCAGCCCGGTACCAGCGTCAGCTGGGCGCCGCCATCTTTTTTTGATGAAAAAGTGCTTCCAGTGACCTCACCGGAAGCACTTTTTCATCAAAAAAAGATGGCGGCGCCATCTTTCTACCCAGAAAAGCTCACCGGAAGCACTTTTTCATCAAAAAAAGATGGCGGCGCCCAGCAAACCAGCGGCCCGGTAGGACTTGTTCCACGGACCGGTACCGGTCCGCGGACCGGTGGTTGGGGACCCCTGCTTTACAATATAATTATGTAACATTTGCTAGAAATAATTCAGATTCTCAGCTAACAGCATTCATGATGCCAGACAAACTTTTAACATCACTATTAGCATTCCCTTCACATTTATCCCCAAATACTTTATTTGGGTCTTAACAGAAAGCTTGAAGAGCTTGGAAGTTTTCGCAAGCAAAGCCTGATACTGATATAAATGTCTATTATGATCAAATTCATAACTGAGTCATAGGTTGTATTGGCTATCCTTTAAATATCATGTATTTGCTTACAATTGAGCACTTTTTAACTGAAAGCCTGTTTTTTTTTTCAATATTAAGTCGTTTGACTGAAGAAGAAGAGGATGAAGATGAAGGAAAAGAATTTGCAGCTGAGGTTGAAAACTCTTTTCCTCAGCTTTACAATATATTTATGGTATGTATTTCACTTTATTTCCCTGTTTAGTTGTCTAAATACCTCAGGCTAAAAAAAAGTTTGAGTTGCTTTCTCTCATCAGAATTGGGCAAGATTAGTAGTTCAAACTTTTAATTTGAAGAAGTGCATATTTTGTAAGTTTTTAACAATTTGAATCAAATAAAAACTGCTATTTATTTATTTTTATTGAAGATAAATGTGTAAAGAAATGTAATATGCCATCAAGTTTGCCTGTTAAGCCAGATAAATAGGTTTAGTCATTATTCATATCAAGATCACTAAATTACTGATATACAGTATATCAACTTTGGTTTGTGAATTGGAGAAATAATCTGCAAATTAACTTGCTTTTGTATTTGAGGATAAGTTGAAATATTATATTAAATAATCTGAACTTAAGTAACTATAGCAACCTTCTCCAATTTGGTCAGCCTCCAAATTAGCTGGAAATTCAGTTTCATACCTTCCAGTAAAGTGACTACCAATGGTAATTGAAGAGGTTTACCATATTGGGGAATGTTTTAGAGAATGATACCAGAGAATGATTGGGGAATGTTTTAGAGAATGATCTTGACAAATTGAAGTAATATAACTGATCAGTCTTCTGTTGTGTGAGTTTAGATTTATTTTCTTTCTTATTTAGACACATATTCCTACTGAAAAGTCGGAGTTGAGCAGTGCAGCTTTACAAGCTTTAGGATTCTGTGTGTGTAATCCAAAGATTGCTTCCTTATTATGCGGTAAGTACCTTTTTGTATTAAACACATTGATAAACACTAATCAATTTGACTAACCAGTTTCTTCCAGTGACTGACATCCATAGTCTATGTCAGGGGTCTTCAAACTTGACAGCTTTAAGACTTGTGGACTTTAACACCCAGAATTCCTCCTCCAGTCATGTTAGCTCAGGAATTCTGGGAGTTGAAGTCCACAAGTCTTAAACTTGCCAAGTTTGAAGACCCTTGGTCTATGTATATATCTATAGATACTGCATATACAGACACTTATGCATATATTAACAGAATTACATCATCACAGAAATGGAATGTGTTAGTTTTAAATCTGTTTCCCATTGGCTAAATTTCAGCATAAATAAACCACAGAATATTTTGGTTGGTCCATGCTTCAGCCAAAATAAAACCTGCAGGGATCCAAGAATGATTTTTTGAAATAATAATTTATATTCAAGTTTAAAAATACAAAAGACAAATACAAACAACCTGTAAATTTCCCTGACTCAAAATAGTCACATGAACAGTACTTTAGTGTTTTGTTTTGGTTTTGTTTTGTTTTGCTACCTGTTGGCATACTACCAGGCGTATGCACCGTTATGAAAGAAGCTTCTATCCAGTACAGCTGTTTCTATACAGAATACTTGAAGCCATCCCTTTATGAAATTAGTCTGAACTTCATTACAGACCAAGAAATTTGCTACTATCAATTATTACACAGTGATAATACCTAGAACAATAATTACTGGTTTTTCTTTTTTTTAAACAGAAATAGAAATACATGAACTACTGTCTATATTAAACAGTGTTGCTACAAATTCAGGAGACAAACACACTCGAACAAGAGCACTCTGGGTGATCTCAAAGCAGTCCTTTCCTCCAGATACGGTTGGAAAGTTGGTGAGTAGGATTTGTTTTCATCACCTATAAATAAAAGTTGATAAAAAGTCTTGCTTTACTTAACTCATGATATTTTTTTCAGGTACCCAATATTATTGCGATGCTAGAAACACTACTTCATAAAGGAGATTCACATTCCATGGTAGTTGAATATGAAGCGCTAAATGTTATCATCCGGTATGTGTCAAGATATACATCTGTAAAAAAGTACAAATGTACAAAATACATTTGTACATTTGTAAAAAGAGGAGAAAGACTTCTGTTTAAATTTTGACCTGTTTATGTTGAAAGCTAAAGTTATGGTTGTAATACATGCTTAGTAGCAGCTATGTTTTGAATTGATCGCATTATTGGAGTATGTGTCAAAGAAATTGTATATGCATTTATATTTTGGGGGGGAATTTCTATTTTCCAGTTAAGCTACTAACTATATTAGATCTTTATTGATATTGTATTTCATATTATAATTGGAGTACTTCAATTGGAGCAATTTAACAAATGTTCTTTAATGTAGTAGATAGGAAATTGCTGCTTGTAAGAGTTAGTGTGGGGAAGTTTTCCATATTGCTTCAACTGTCAACAGTCTCTTGATATGAGCAAAGAATTCTGAATCATTCTAGGTTTTACTTAATCTAAAGTGATTTTAATTTATTTGTGGTCTGAATCAGCTGAAATGGCCTCATTATTGCACTGATGCCAATGGGATAATTGACAATGGATTAAGTTATCTTATCCATGGTCTGTAGATCTCTCCAATTAGCCTATGAAGCACTGTAATGTTATTCAGAATAGACTGCAAACCACTACCATGTGAGAGCAAGAGATTTACATACACCTGCATACTTAGTTCTTTTGACAAACTTTTGCAAAAACGTTGGAAACTTATTCATATTTGTATTTGCAAAACTTATTCATATTGTGTTTCTAAAATCTAGGCTGATAGAACAGGCTCCATCTGACATGGAGGAACAGGCTGTGACGTGGGCTAAGATGATAATTCCTTTGCTGGTTCACTCAGCTCATAAAGTACAGTTAAAAGCTGCTAGTGCTTTGGAAATGGGTCTACCACTTCTTCAGCAGAACCAAGAAGTGATAGCAGTTGCTGAGCAACTCCTGACTACTGTAAGTCAAATCTACCTTAAATGTAATTGCAGAGTATCACAGAGCCAGGCGTATTTTTTGAATGACCTTCATTCAGTCCCCATACAGCTATTTTACTAGATTTTCAGTCGTATCTTTCTGGCATAAATTAAAAATCCAGAATAGAAATCACTGAAAAGTGTAAAAATATTATATAATAAGTACCAGAGTCAGTACTTTACATATATGGAAGATAAATGCAAATGAAGCCTGAACTGAAATGCATTATTTTGTAAAAAGTATTAAAATGACAGTTCCCCATTTGTGATTTCTAGCACAATATCTTATATTTTTTCAGTCTAATCCTTTAGATTATTTTGATGTTACTAATACATTTATTCTGAACTGAATTAATGTATACCTTATTGTAGTCTTAAAACATGCAAACTAAAGGACAATTGATACAAAACAATAGATATAAGATAGCAATAAAATAATAAGTCAATCCGGTGTTTAAAAACTTAAGTCAAATTTCATATGAATGATACAGATCAATTCTGTAAGAGTTACAAGAATGCAATTAATTTTTATAGCTGCACAATAACATTTTGCAATTGTGTATAGTATGTAACTATGAAGTCTCTGTCAGCCAATTAATATTTAATGCAAAATTTATCTGAATAACTCGGATTTTTTAAAATAAAAACCATATTAGCATTTGATAAAAGTCTGAATTAAATTCACAATATGTACAGTTTTCTCTATCTTACCTTACTCTCATAGGAGAAATACTCTTGGGACCTGGGCTATTACAGCATCTTTAAAAAAAATACTGAGGGTATTGATACCATAGAATAAGAGAGAAAAACAGGCTTTGGAAGAGCATCTCTGAGATTTGATGAAAAGCTGATAAATGTTTAAAAATCCTCTTAGGTTATTTGGTGGCTCTGTCCCAGATCCACAGTTTGATTACATATTTTCCATTATTAAATCTTAAGGATAGTGAATAATCAGGCGACAATCGGTAGGAGAGCAATTTGTTTGTAATACTCTTCCATCACTTTGACCTATAATTACCCAATAATATTAATGGTAGCCCTGTTGCTAGAGTCAATTTAAATCTATTCAAAACATATTTTTATTCTCAGCAACCCAGTTTCCAGTCTCAGAGAATAGATATCTGAATTGTGCCTCGTATGGCACAATTATGCAGTGGACTTGCCACAAGTAATTTAATCATTCCCTTTTGTATCACATGGAATTTTAAAATTGCTTTGATATTTTTTGGAGTGATAGGAGAGGCATAACTGCAATTTCCTTCTGGATATTTGATAAACAACTCTTAGACATTTAAAATAATTCAGAATGTGACCACAAGATTTGGATAAAATATTACAGGGGATGGATGAAAAGTTAATTAAAAATGTTATGACTACTTACTGAGATTTTAAAATGGAAGAAGAAACAGTAAAGGAAAATATGATAACCTGGGCAACAAAATTTGGGTACACCATAGAGTTGGATGATTGGCAAAAACTGTGGGGAAAAAATTATACATTGACTATGTCAGCAGCATATAGAGAAAATTTGTACAAAATGTTCTATAGATGGCACCTACCACCAGCAAGATTAACAAAAATGTTCCCAAATTAGCCCATCAGAATGCTGGAAATGTAAAGAAACACAAAGAACATATTACCATATGTTGTGGACCTGTCCAATGGCAAAAAAAATATTGGGCAAGGATAAAAAAGATTGGTTGGAGGAGATGATAAAACAACAGATACACTTAAAGCCAGAGCTATTTCTATTGAGCATACTAACAGGGAAATATAATAAAAAAACCTCAGTACTTGATGATTCGTGTAATAACAGCCGCGAGAATTAGCTACGCACAAAATTGGAAAAACAGAAATATACCCACAGAGGAAATGGTAATAAGGAAAATACTTGATTGCTCTGAAATGGACAGGTTGACAATGGAAATTAAAGATAAAGGAGAATAGAATATTATTCCGTTTGGGACATGGTACAGTTGGTTAGATAAGAGATGCAAAGATTAGAAAACTACAATGAAAGACGATCAAAGTACTAGAAACAATATGAGTATAATAATAGTTAAAAGTATATACATATAGAAACCCGGTTAGAATTATAGGAATAAGAAAGATAAATATGGTATTGTATAAAGAAAAGTTAAATAGTTGAACATAGGAAGTATAATAGAATGCATAATGTATAATGTTGATACAACCAGTATATCGTGGCTGTAAAATTGAAGCTGTAATGCATAATGAAAACGTATAATAAAACTTCATTTAAAAAAAAAAAAATCTGAATGCTGTTCTAGGATCCTAGCTGACCAATTCTGAACAAACCCCCAAGAATCTCATCAAAGTGCATTTTTATCTAATTTAATTTAACATTTTAATAAATTTTCTCTATTATAATCCTACAGAAAGTAATTCCAGAACTCCAAAAGCTATTTTTTTCAAAACATGAAACATATATTCTGAAACTGTGGCCTCTGTTTGTAAAGCTGCTTGGAAAAGTAAGTTGGAGAAAAAAATCTTTATAAGCTATGATACCGGAAGTACATTACAGCGTACAGTGATACTGTATTTTTCCCTTTAGACATTGCATCATAGTGGAAGCTTTATCAATTCCTTGCTGCATTTAGAAGAACTTGGATTTCGTAGTGGCTCCCCGGTGGTAAAGAAAATAGCTTTCATTGCATGGAAAAGTCTGATTGATAACTTTGCTTTAAATCCAGGTATGCTAAAATGTTGAGCAGTAAGTATCAGCAATGAATATACGCTTTGTTTCTCACATGCAGAAGGAAAGTCAGTGGTTAAGCTGACACACAAAAACATAAGAAGTTATTAGTGATGTTGATAGTTTAAATTAAATTAGTTGCCATCTTGGCTATATTTAGTATAAGATTTACATAGTTCTTATCATTGCCAGATACCAGCTATCTCTTATGAGAATGTGCTTTTCACCCACTATAAATCATTTACTCAAATATGAGTTCTGCTTGATTCCCAGCAACTCTGGGCAATTTTCAAATGGTTAAAAACCTTTAAAAACAAAGAACACAAATCAAAAAGAACAAAGGTGACAGAGATAAGAAACCTGGCTGGAAAGCCCCAAAGGTATTTTTCAAAAGACAACTGGGCTTTTGTGGTTTTTTTTCCCTTGAAAATGTTTTGCTTCTCATTCAAAAAGCTTCTTCAATTCTGAGAACAGTTCTTCAGAACTGAAGAAGCTTCGTGGATGAGAAGTGAAACGTTTTCAAGGGGGAAAAAAACAAAGTGTATTTGTCTTTTGGAAAGTACCTTTGGGATAGCCCTGACTTGGATGGTTGAGAATCTCCATAGACCCCTGGATGGGAAGAAGAAAAAGAGGAAAATGGGCCTCAATCATGCTTGCCAAAGGCCCATTGAAACACCAATGTTTAAAATACTTTTCTGGATTATTAGCCTTTCCCATGAGAAAGCTTATAGAAGACTACATTTTAAAGCTTTTAGAGATAGGGAGTACAGAATTCAAATACAAAAACCATGGTGGCACAGTGGTTAGAATGCAGTATTGCAGGCTAACTCTGCCGACTGCCAGAAGTTCAATTCTGACAGCTCAAGATTGACTCAGCCTTCCATCCTTCCAAGGTCAGTAAAATGGGGGACCACATTATGGGGGCTAATACGCTGACATTGTAAACTGCTCAGAGAACGCTGTAAAGCATTATGAAGCAGTATATAAGTCTAGATGCTATTGCTATAATTACACAAGTGTAAGAGAATTATCTTTCTGAAACACCCATAGAAAAGGAGTGGCTTATTTGTATTTGTTTTGCTGTTGGTTTTCCTCCTTTCTTTCCTTTTTGTATTTATATTTATATTTTTTTCTTTCTGATATTAGTTTGGGTTATCTTTTACAATTGTAAAAATCTTCAATAAAATGTTTTTTTTTAAAAGAGGATGCCATATTTGTTAGACAAATCCATTTTCAATTCATAGCAACCCAGTGAGGCAAGAAGGATTAAACTTTGCTTCTCTTTCTATTCAATATAATCAATATTTTCAATTTCTGTTTTCGAAGATATATTATGCAGTGCAAAAAGGCTGAGATTGCTGATGCAGCCACTGACCTCTATTCATGTGAGAACTGAAACTCTGGCACTGACCAAGCTTGAAGTTTGGTGGTATTTATTAATGAGGCTTGGATCTCAGCTTCCAGTCCACTTTGAACAGGTAGCTTAATGTTTGTTGTTAAACTAATATTGAGCATTAGTTAAAATGGGGTTCTGAAGGACATTTACATTTCTATGCAATATCTGACATATTGATTGTGCTCTTGTATGCATTATCCCATTCAATAAATAATACATGTATGCATTAAATATCTCTTGTTTATTGCTAGAATAAATTATTGAGATCTGATCTGCCAATTTATTTTATTTTGGGCTTATGCTTCAGTGTTTCTTTTTTAGGTTTGTGTACCATTAATTCTGAACACTTTAAGCCTAGTTGCCTCTCCGCTACAAGACAATTCATCATGGTTAATTTCTAATCAGAATTTAACTATGCCGTGTAGTTCACGAAAACCAGGTATGAAGCAAGCAGATACAAGTACATTGGCAGCTGAGGGGAGGGAGGGGGAAGCACTGGGAAGGTTGGGAGGTGATGACCACACTGGTGGGATATGGCGTTGTGAAGGGGGAGGAAGAGGGTCATCTCAATTCTGCCCAATTGTACCACTGACCCGAAATGGTTCACACAACCTGCAAAATATGTTAGTTCTGGGTTTAAAAAGAAAAAAAGAGCCCTTTTCCAGTTCTTTCACACTCCTAGTCTGTTCCAAGGCACTTGCCCTGAGAAGTAGAACATTTTGAGTAGACTTTCTTTGCTCCTTGCCATTCCTGAAAGTAAGCTTTGTTAAGGTGATATCAACAAGCACTGCAGTTCAGAACTATAGTTTAAGCATAGGACCGTTAATGGAAGATAATGTCATATACATTTGGGGAAACTTTCTAAATAAAATAGACTGGCTAGCTTTGAAGTACAATCCTATTGTTAGAAGCATGAGACATAATCAGATCTTCAACCTCATTTCCATCAGCCAGTTCTTCAAGTTACTCCTACTGGGGAGGGGTGTTGTGGTGGTGGTGGGGTTTCCCCATATAAACCATTTTCTTTGCTAGAAGAGAGAGAAAAATGCAATGTTTTTATTTCAGGAGTTTTCCCTTTTGGAAATATTGCCACTCCAAAGATGACTTTGAATTCTAGCAGTGAAGGAGCTGTTATTCCATCTATTCAGCTTCTAGGAATTGAAATGCTACTTCACTTCTTTATGGGACCAGAAGTATTGACTTTCGCCAAGGAAAATAAAATCGTACTTAGTTTAGGTAACTATTTGTTGGGTAAAATAACTTTTATAATAAGGTAAAATACTGTAGCCTTAGTTTTATTTTTAAAAACTGCTGATTTGTCAGTGAGAGAAGTTCTTTACTGTCTCCTTATATAGAACCTCTTCAGTGCCCAGTAATCAACAGTCCTTCCTTTTTCTGCAAGTATGCCAGTGTTTTCATAAATGCAGCTCGGGATGGTTTCATTGCAATTGGAAGAGATGTTTCTGGTAAGGACTTTTATGTGCGGGTTAGATATTTATTGTAAGCAGGAATCTTCAACTCTAAAGACAAAAGGCATTAACTATAGGAATGCTATATAAATATAAATAATAAATAAATAAAAATCAATTAGCTAGTTCTTGCTATTGGGCTTAAAATGGAAAAGAGGCATGTCATAAAAAGATGAGGAAAAAAAGTTGATGATTGTGGTTCATTTTAATTGTTCAGATAGATAGAACTGAGCATTTTACTGTCTATAGTCCATTGGCACTGGATTTTGAGTCTTTGGTTTTGAGTCCTTGCAGACATATTCCATTTTTTCTTTGTTCCTTACTATTCCTGAAAAGTAAACTGAATTAGTTCCTTGTCTCCTTTTGGACAAGATAAGCCCCAGAAACCCTATTGCTGACTGCCATGGTGATTTGGATATTAACAACTCAACAAGTTGTTTGCAGCTTTTGTCTTCTACTCATAGAAAAATTCTTTAGTGGGCATTTTTTGTTTAAAAAAACCTTATAGTGCAGTAGTTGGCATCTTTCAGATACCTGTTTATATAATATAAATATACTTAACTGATTTTTCTCTTGATTTTCCTTTTGTTTAAATCACGCCTTGCAGATGTTATGCTCACTGCTATATGGAGAGAATTAGTTGGTTTTGTGAAAGCTGCAATTGAATCAGGTAATCATTGTTTATATGATTCAACTGTATAGAGACCTTATGAAAATGAGGAATTACTGAATTTATTCATGTACACTTAGAGCTATCTAAGTAAATTGGTATCATACCATGCTACTGTTTGAACACAGCTTACAGTTAAACCTCATTATTTAGAAGTGATTTGCCCAAACTGGGATCTGGGTAAAGATGCAGTTAAGTGTATGAAGCCTGTTACTATGTCCAGTGTTATAAGATCTGACTGACCACCGCATGCATAACTTATTTCTAGGCAATAAAAGAGAACGGCAGAATTCAGAAGTATTAACTATGTTGCTGCAGACTTTAAAAAACATTATTTTGTCAAAAGAATTACCAGTATTAAACTCATTGGTAAGTGTTGATAGAGTTTTTACATGTGTGAAATTTAAATTTATCGTATTCACCATTCTTATGTAAAACGAACCCTAAATTGGATATCCTTTTTAGATACTTATATATTTATAAGAGTGGTTCCAGTATTTTATTTATTAGAGCTCAAGGCAATATTTTGCTGTTCAGAAGTTTATATATTTGAGGGGTCCTTGATGCCCTGAATTTGGTTGTTTTCTTCAAGATGTTTCAATAGCCAAACTAGGTAACATCATTACCTATTATGAGAGCACCAAGGATCCACTCATTTCAACCCTGAGCTACAAATATTCTCCTTTATTGGTTTATATACTTACAAAAGTGATTCAGCATTTTATTTATTAGAGCTTAAGGGCAAATTTTGCTATTATGTGCACTCATATACAGCATAATCCTTTGGATAAGTCATATTTGTGTGATAAACTATAAGCTATAAATAGTGCTTATTTCCTGTGCAGCAGAATGCTGATTTGGATAATCTTGATATTTTTTTTCATGATATGTTCAGTTTCCAAATACACATGACTATATAAACAAAGGAGAAGAGTATTTTATAATTTTAATCATGTTGATCTGATGTAGATACCAGTTAATAGTTTTACCTTGTTACCTGTTAAATGAAAGGCTTTGCTTTTTTCTGTTTTAGCCCTTGCTAGAAGTGGCTATTAAAGAATTGCCTCCAAAAGTATTGGGATCACCAGCCTATCAGATTGCTGACATGGATCTTCTGAATGTAAGTACAATACGTATGATGTGTGATGCTGCTTGGATGAGTTACACAAAGCATGGTATTGCCACATGCTTTGTTTCCTATAAGAAATACAACTGGTAAGATACCAGGCACAGATATTGATAAGTTCACCGGGAGCCGATGCGGATGGCAGCAGAATTGGACAGTGAGGAAGAAAGGGGACCAGTCAGGGAGTCTGGAGAGGACTTGGACGAGGGTCCTGCATCCGGTGCAGGGATGGAATCAGGACCATCTGGGAGTGGGGTTCTTCCTTCGGAGTCTGGCAGCAGCAAAGCAGAGGACCCAGGGGAGCCTGTTCCCAGTGCATGTGTGCACAGGGCTGCTAGAAGGCAAGAGCAGCTGAAGCAGAAGGGGCACCTCGGGAGTAAGGCTGGGAGGTGATTGCCCCTCCCATAAGCGATAAAAGTCAGACCTCAATGACGAAACCTTTGCAGGAAGCAAAGTAGCTCGATAGATTCCGAGTCCTCCTTGAAACTCTGTGTACTCTGGTTGGTTTCTTCTGGTACTTTGGTTGGTTTCTGTTATAATTAATTGGATACTTCTGTTTTTGGCAACATTCCACCATACTGAAAGGTGTCTGCTTATCTTGAGGAACTGTTTATAATTAGTTCTGGCTGGGAATGAAAGTAATTCACAGCGTTGCAATAAAATAGGTTTTGCTTTTAAAACAAGTTTGATATTAATTACGTTTGACGAAGCCTGGGTCAGAACAGTGGTTCTCTTAATCCTACTAGAGTCCAAATTCCTAAACTATTAGAAGAATGGATTTGGAATTTCTACACATTGGTTAAGTTGACCCTCCTAAAGCAGAAATCAAAAGCTGATGAGTCAGAATGTCATGTCCATTTCCTTTAAGTCTAAGACATTGGGTGGAAACAGACATTCCCAGGTCAGATAAAGATTAACATGTCAGTGTGAGAGCAAGCCAGTTTAGCTTTCATACTGTTCAAAAACCAGGAACTGCTTTTAATTATTTTTTCCTGTATAGAAATGCACTCATCATTTAGATTCAAGAAATAATCCGTTTAAACAAAATGTGTTCAATTGTAAGGAAATTGTAAGGAAAGGAATATCTAATTGTAAGACGTGACCCTGTCTTGTATACTATAACCTTATTCCACCAGAGCAGCAGCCTATCAAATGTACTATGTACTAATTCACAATTAAAATCTGAAGTGGCACAAATGAGAAACATATTCCTAAGTGCCATAGAAAAACTATCCTGATCTTCTCTCTCATAGAGTCAGGAAGATGAAATATGTTGCATGGTGCTCGGAATTCATTTTTACATAGTGAAAGAAAGAACTAACTAGGTTAGGAAGGCACATAAAGGCAAGGAGTCTGCTACTGCTCCCTAAGTTGCATTGCAATGGTTGAGTATTTTTGTTTTTGAAGGAAAAGAATTCCAGTAATTTGATCCAAATACTTGTGTATTTATTGCAACATTCTCATATGAGATTATCTCTTCTATATTAATTATGCAAACATACTTATTTTTAAGAATAGTCTGCTTGCTATTAAATGCAAAATATATTGCAAAGTCCAGACCAAACCCTATTGTACTGTAATAGTAGGGCAAGACCTGAAACGAGCAATTCACATTAGGAAACTTTCAGATGTTATTGAGTTAAAGCAATTTACCATGGAAAAGTGGGTTAAAGTTCTTGCAGAGTGTCATGAGAGTTTGATCATTGATTACAGGTGGAGTAATCAATGGTGGAGCTATTATAACTAAAGTTAATTCAAACAATTCATAATTAGAAGGAAGAAATTATATTCTCTTATTGACATATTTCATGTTGGATTACTTACAAAACAGGCACCAGACTTGGTTGTTGTTTTGTCACTTAGATCCCCTTTAAATATCAATAAGATCCATATGAAGAAGCTCAAATAACATTCAGTGGAGACTTTTGCACAAACTTTGATAAATCCTGAAAGAAGGTGAATATTTTTTTAAAAGGCAATATGAATTTAGACACAATTAACATATTAATTAAAAGCAGGAAGATCTGAGGATTTGGCAGTTTAATTTACATAATTTTGCCAGCCAAGATGCTATAGGAAGAATGCCTGGTCACAAGGTCAACCTTTATAATGTCAAGGTAATATCGAAGGGTTGAATTATTTCATAAAAGTATGTTGGTTGACAGTTGTGAAACAGAAATGTAGTCATGATGAAAACGTTGATGGTGGGCAGAGTTGGTAAGGCAGAATAAACTTTACATTACTCCAATGAATAATAGACTTTAACTGCCTGAATAATTAGGTTTTCTTTTCTTGTCAGGGAACTCCAGCACTGTTCCTGGTTCAGCTTTTATTCTGTGAAGATGTTCTGAAATGTGGAGTTGAAAATAGAAGGTAGATATTCCTGAACAGTTTTTAAAAAAATCTATATGATGATAAAAACATAGTTTTAAAAATTCTGTATGCTGATACTGAAGTTTATTCGAAAGTGCTACTTTATTTAAAATAACCCTTGTGAAGTACAATAATGCATCAACAAATGGTAGTGTTATCCTGCTTATGTATAACTTAACTACCCTTCCCATCTCTAAAAGTTAAAACTACACCAATTAATTTGATTATGTACAACTGGATATTTAGTTGCTAAAATACACCTCTTTAATTTTGATTCTAATTACTTATTTTTCTTAACTAGATTCTTGTCAAACTACGAAACTCTTGTGGAATGTGCTTTGTCTGGCCCTACGTCTCCTCTGGCTTTTACTGAGTCTGTACTCACAATTGTGAGTCAAAATGCCATGCACTTGGAAAATAAGGAATATTTGTGGCGAATGTGGAGTATTATGGTTAACCCATTAACTGAATGGATTAAACAGGTATAGTCAACTAATTTGTCTAGTTAAGTATCAATTATATAGAGATACCAAAATATTACTACAGAAATAAAAATACTTTCCAGAACTAGATTTAAAAAATAAACAAGAATATTAAGGTTTTAATGTGTCTTAAATATATAAACAGTAAACAGTTCATGTGTCAACCTAGATACAGGTAGTCCTTGACTTATGCCCACAGTTGAGCCCAGGATTTATGTTGCTAAGTGAGAAATTTGTTAAGTGGGTTTTGCCCATTGTACAACTTTTCTTGCCACATTTGTCAAGTGAATCACTGCAATTGTCAAATTAGTAACGCGGTTGTTCAGTGAATCTGGCTTCCCTGTAGACTTTGCTTGTCAGAAGGTCACAAAAGAAGATCATGTGACCCTGGGACACTGCAAGTGTCCTAAATATGAACCAGTTGGCAAGCATCCAAATGTAAATCGTGACCATGGGGATGTTGCAACGGTCATAAGTGTGGAAAATGTCCCTAAGTCACTTTTTTCAGTGCCGTTGTTACTTCGAATGTCATTAAATGAACTGTTTTAAGTCGAGGACTACCTGAACAATGTTTTAAATGCTTTGAATGTTAAAATTTTTCAATGTTTTCAATTTGGGCTACTTTTTTTTTTTTCCTTAGACGAATGAAGTCAATCAAGGGGATGCTTTGGAGCATAATTTCAATGCAATTTACTGTGCACTGTTGCTACCAGTAAACTATATATTTTCATCTTCTGAATTCCCAGAGGTAGGAAACTTTGAATATCTATAGTAGTACTTGTCATTCAGAATCTAAGGTGTGTTAATATATAATTTGTTTTGCTACAGCTTGCCATGAAAACACTATTGCGTTCTTGGTCAGAACTGTATAAAGCATTTGCCCGTTGTGCATTACTAGTAGCAACAGCAGACGATAACACATGCTGTGAGGAACTCTGTGCCAAAATAATATCTGGATTAAAAGATGAAGCACATCTTGTAAGTGGAGGTTCCCTTATCCTAGTACACAAATATTTCTGTGTTCCTTTGTATGCTGTCTTGACATATCTGTCTTATTTCTGTTTCAGAATCAACCCATGTTGGAAGGGCTCTCTTATATTACAACAGTCATAGTTGAATGCGTCTGTTTTGCACCTTATGATAAGAGATTTCTATCAGCACATAAACGTAAGATTTGCTAGTATGAAGATATTGCAATATTCAGTGGCCTATCTCTATTTTTCTTTTATATTTTTTCCACCTCTCCTAATACACATAGTCTTCAACAGCCTTATAACCACATTTTCAATCAGAACATTGTCGCTAAGCAATGTAGTTATTGAGTCCTCACATGGCTATGTACCAATTTTGTGCCCTTTTTGCCCAAATCCAAATTCTCCCATTGACTTTGCTTGCCGAAAGCTGGCTGGAAAGGTCACAAATGGCATTCTCATGACCCCAAGATCCTGCAGCTGTCATAAGTACAGTATCCTTTGTTCTATTCCCACCATTCCATTGCTCATCATCTTCTGTCCCACTGCTTTTAATAATAACAAGCTAAGCTTTAGAACATGGTTACAGAGAAGCATGACCCACAAGTCTCCCACAAGCATGCCCACAAGCATGACCCACAAGCCTCCCACAAGTGATATTGCAACTAGTGGGTATGAGGGATGGTTGAATCTGAATAACTTTTCATTTTAAAATGCTACTAAGTTTTTATGTTTCAAGTAAAATTAATGTTAAATTGTTCTTCAGCTCCACAGAAGCTAGCGGAATGGGCCAGAAGGTCAAAAAATCCCCTTGGCAAGCTGTGTTCTGTAATGAAACTTCTGATAATACTGATAAACTCTCTTAAGATGCTTATATCCGGGGAATCTGACTTTGAACAATTAGCTCCTGTTGCTTCTGGGATCGTTGGTATTCTTCAGAATATCATTGCCCGCATCTCTTTGCCTTCTGTCATCAGAGCGGTCTTGGGATTTATTGCAAAACCTTTCACAGCATTGTATCAAAAAATAGAGTAAGTATATGTATATTATAGAGCTGGGTTTCACTGATGTAGCAGTTGCACACTGATGTTATTCTGATGAATTTGTCTCATACAAATAATCTGAAGTAATGATGGAAGGTTATTGCATGTGCTTGGGATGGCCTTTCATGAAGACTGCAAATTAAAAGAGAACAAAAGCAGATTAAAGATGGGTGGACAAGGTACAGGAGTGAGAGATGCACCTTTGGAAGACCTGAAAGACCAGGTTAGTGAAAGATAATTCCAGAGAAAATGCATCTCTGTGGTTCCTAACAGGTGACATTGATTTGAGGGCATGTAATCATAATCATGGAAGACCCTTTGACTCTTACTTCAGCTCTTGACTTTCTAGATATACTTTATTGGTGGCATCCTAATTTAAAGTTCTGTAATTAAAACATCCCATTTTAAACTAGGTTTTAATATCAGTTTTTAAATTACTTGAACCAAGTAGCTTTATCATCAAACATTTATTACAACTGCATAAGCAAGCTTCACCAAGGAAAAGATTGCTCATTTTTCTACTAGGAAAGAGAAGGTGATCATCACATAAAAGCTTCATCTTAAAACAGATTTGGGGTTTTTGATTGCAGACATTTTTTTTACCCATATGCTCATTAACTGATCTGTTAAAAATCTTACAGGATTATGCAGCTAAAATTTTCTTAGTTGAGCAACAGCCTGGAAGTATGTACATGATTACAGATTAATGTTAATCCTTCTCTGAAAAATTCAATTTAATTGTGTTGCAGAGCATTGGGCCATTCCTTAATTTGTGTTGATATGGGCACAATTATATTTACCTTAGCTGCATCTCATTTGAAAGTGCTGGGCTGCCTTTAAAAATTGTTCAGAAGGCTGAGTCCAGATTCTTGATTGGGAAGTTACAGAGAGTATGTAACTTGCTTAACAAAGATAAACTGTCTTAATCTGTTTTTGTGGGACTGTCAAATCACTATGAAGTTTTATATACAAACCTTGATTTTTAGTATCTTCAGGTGAGTCCCTACTCTCGGTCTTTTGGCCGTCAGAAACATATTTGGTAGAAATGCAGGAAGGCATTCTCAGTGAGTATTCCCTCATTGCCAGGTGGGTTTATCCCTGTTACCTTCTGGCAGCAAGCAAATAATTTTGTTTTACTTTTTTAAAAAATGGAAAAACGTTTAGTGCATTCATTCATTGAAATGTGCTTTACTTTCCTGGAATGCAGTTTGCTGAGGGTTTTTTTTTAATTGACTTGAGTAGCTTAGTGTTGTCATTCTGTTTTTATCTTCATTTTTGGTGATACCTTGAACATCATTTGGAATGAAAGGGCAGAATATGAAATATATATTATAGTTGAATAAAGTGCTCAGCACTTGGATAATTTCTTAATGTATTCAGTGTACTCTTTCCTTAATATATGTAGTGTAACCTATTCACTAAACCAGTATCTACTGTATATCTTACCTATTAGCTGTATTTCAGCTTAAGATTGTAGTCAAACTGCAGTTGTTAACTTTATAGGTGAATAGATACTTACGTGCAAACTATTTTTTTTCTGCAAGGTCTACTAATCCCTCTAGAACAAGTCCTGCGCTCATTTTCAAGGTACTTTATATATAGAAAAAAGCTATTTTTCTGATTCCTAAATGGTAACAATATTCAATATGCTGCTGTTCTGCAGTTAATTTTAGGAAAAAATACAGCTTATGGTTTTTATTGTTTTATTATATTGTGCTTTGTGCTGTGATAGACTTTGTACATCACCTAAAGCCCCTGAAGTTGAGTCAAGTTTATAAATGCTTTTAATAAATAAATGGTGCTCACTTATTCATTTGTGAGAGGTATTCCCAATTCAGATGTACTCTGCCATAGAAATACAGATTTGGCTGGGAGAGTACTGCAGATTGCAGTGGCACTTCTAGCTAGCATGCATGTGGGGACCTATTCTGACAGCAGTATCAGATTCTCATCCTTTTACCTTGATTAATATATACTGTGGCCAAATTTTGTTAAATACAGCTATTGCCATTTCAAATGGCCTTCAGAAATTGCAGTTGGTTCAGAATGCAGCAGAAAATGTTTTGGTAGATGTTTTCAGGCAGATCCTAACAAGACTTTCAAGGGCTACACTGGTTACCAGTGAGTTTCTATATCAATTCCAAATATGGGTGATAAGGCCAGATCAGGGACTATACCTCCTATACCACCTTATTTGCCTCTTCAGATCTAGAGAAGATATTCTGTATAGGTAGGGATAAGCATAACATCCTTCCTGATGCATGCAAAGCTCTGTATTGGGAGGTACCGTTGATGCTGTCTTTGGTTATTTCCCTGCTAATAGAGTAAGACTGAGAACTCAAGAAAACATCCCAGAGGTTTATGCAATGACAAACTATCTCCGTATTAGGCTTTTAGCCAATTGTTGGGGATCACTAAAGTGACATGGTGGGAAATATAGTGCTTCATGTATGAGTGATGTGTTTTATTGTTATTTTTACTGGTGATACAATGAGCCATCTAGGTTTATTGCATATATGGTTTGTAAATAAATAAGTAAATAAATAACACTGTCCATTAAGCCAACAGAGTTCAACCAAGTTCCCAATTGCTAATTGCCTTTAGAAGATAACTTGTTTTTTAATTTGAATTGTTATAAATTTAATTTGAACGGGGTATAAATTAGAAAGGGCAATATGCTTGTTATGTAAATGCAAATGAGATTAATACCTCATTTAAAAAAAAATAATGATATTTCTTACACCATTTTTGTTTCTTAGTGTGAAAAGTTACTGGCAGACAGCCTTACTTGTTTGCAGTCAAACTATACTGCAACCTTTGACAGCTGTGTCTTGAAAGAGATTTTTCCATTATTAAGTATAATGCTTTTAAATAAGAATAGGCATATAAGCAGCCATGCTGCTCGCTTTTGGAATACAACATTTGGAAAAGAGGAAAGCCTGGAATACCCTGAAGAATTTAAGTAAGACATCTTTTGTTCTTGTGCTCATCGTAACATTTTGTATTATCTGAAAACAGACACATAACATAATATAACATAATTTAGATCTAGACATTCCTTCTATTTATGACACCGTTTTTCCTGTGCTTGATGCATCCCTCTATATAGTCACATGAAAAGAGGCTGTACAAGAAGGAAGGAATTTATTATTTCTACCAGTTGCTTCATTCAGTTGAGCATCTCAGAACCAAAACTGATAGAAAGAAAGGATCACATCTTGGCTTTATTAAAAATAATTTTATTACAGTTTAAAAATATAAAAATTAAAAAAATCATACAAACCAAGAAAAATATAAAATATATAAAATATTAAAAAGAAAAAATGTCCAGAGAAAGGGGGGAGAGAAAGAAGAGAGAGGAAGAAAGAAAAAATGATTGAATGAGAGAAAGAAGAAAGAAAGAGAATAAGAAAAGACAAGTACAAACAATTTCAATAACTTTTTCTAATATTTCAACCGAAGACTCATTCAGTGACCATGCAGAACTACAATAGTGCTGAAAAGTTGGGACTCAGAATAGTCCTTGAAGTTCTGGCTATATAAGCTGTGGTTGCTATTGTTAAACAATGCAGTATTATATGACATTATACTTTATGAGAGTTGTTTTTAGCTGTGAATTAATGTTTCACTTTTTGTGTGTGTTAAGAACTAGAATCGGCCTTAGGAAAGTTGGGAATTTGAAAAATGATCTGGAGCTCAGTTCATTCTGTCCTGGTAGTCTTGTGTTTAGAACTTCATGTAACCATACACTTGACAGTGAAATTCTGTATGAAAATACAATGATATTCTTTTTCTAATCTTTTTCTCTTCGATTTGTTTAAGATAGATATGAATGAGGTAGTAATTATTTGGGGAAAGTATATGTGAAAATAGGTTCTATTTGAATTCTAAGCATTTTTAATTGGAATATCTTCATGTTTGGAATTACTAAAGAAAAAATATAGGTCTTTTTAAAGTTTAGCTATAAACATTTTGATAAAAACACATTTTTAAATATCACCACAATTTTCAAATTTTCACTGCTATTTTATGCTTCCTTGCAGAACTGTTTTAAATAAAGCAAAACAAAAATTCATACTCTTACTGCCTGCATTTGAAAGCTGTGATATAATGGAGGGATCTAGTACTTCTTATTCTGATTATGTAAGTTCTGATTTTTTTCAATTCCATTTTGGAATTTTGTTAGCAGTTCCCTTTGATCTGAGTAAACACAAACTTATATATAGCTTTAGTTCAGCCACATTATTGATATTTTAATTTAATAATTTAATAAAACTTATTAATTTTAATAAGTTATGCTTATATATGTTAAAACAGACAGAGAACTCCCAGTGGGGTGCAAACATCAGCGGAATAAAAGTAAATCCTAATGGAAAAAGGGACTCATTCCTGGCCCAAACCGGTGAGCCAGAGGAAGAAAATATTGATTTTCACATTACACCTAAAAAGGTAAGACATAGAAGCTTACTAATAAAATTATAGTTTTGGTAGTTGTATCTTTAATAGTTATAGGAAATATCAGTGAGACCCAGGCATATCATGGTAGTCTAGATATGGGGTCCTTCATTTAGAATTGTAGTTAAATTTATAATTTACAAACTTGCTCTCCTTCCCAGACATGAGCAGAAGGTCTCCTACTCATTTGTAGACGGGGTGGGCATCATTTTTTTGTGTTATGCCTGAGATACAGACTCCATGCTTATTTATGAGCTATTTTTCTCTTTTAATGCTTTTTCCTCATACAAGATAAAGCTAGAATTCTCACGGTCAAAATCAAACATAAAAAACATTCCTTTGGAAGAAGAAAACACTATGGACTTCGTGTACATTCCTGTAGAAACAAAAGAACGAGTCTTAACAGAGCACCAAAAAGAAGTTCTGAGAACTAAAAGGTTTGTCATCAATCACATTAACTTAGTTTTTGCCTGCATCTTCTCTGTGCTATGAAACTTAGGAGTCAAAATTACACCCATTCTATTTTGCCAGCCAACTTCTGACTTTAGAGTTTACTCCTTTTGTGGTCAGGAAATGCTAGAAGCAGGTTTTGCAATGAACAGGCTTCCATGGCCTCAAAGGAACGAAGAATATAATCTCCTATACTTTTCTCTGCATATCCACTCCATAACTAGCAAGGAGCTTACTAAACCAGGCTTGTGTGTATAGAAGAGTTTACCAGAGAACACCCTTCTCCACATGGTGTCCTCTAGATACTTTGAATCTAGATATTTTCTAGATTTCTCAGTTAGAATTGTTTTGAAAATGATAGTCTAAAGAAAGAGTTCAATTTCCTCAAACATCCTCTGCAGAAATACAAGTTTGGTTTATGTTGTGTTCCTTTCTATACATTTTTTTCAGGGATGATATTCCTGTCATGTATAATAATCTGGACATGTCTCAAGACGCTGTTCTCTTTTCCCAGGACACTCAGAACCAGGAGGATTCTTTGTAAGTAATAAGCACCAGAAATATTTTTTTAAAGGGTTTGTATAGGCGAAACTCGAAAAATTAGAATATCGTGCAAAAGTTCATTTATTTCAGTAATGCAACTTAAAAAGGTGAAACTAATATATGAGATAGACTCATTACATGCAAAGAAAGATAGGTCAAGCCGTGATGTGTCATAATTGAGATGATTATGGCTTACAGCTCATGAAAACCCCAAATCCACAATCTCAGAAAATTAGAATATTACATGCAATCAATAAAACAAGGATAGTACATAGAATATCGGACCTCTGAAAAGTATAAGCATGCCTATGTACTCAGGACTTGGTTTGGGCCCCTTTTGCAGCAATTACTGCCTCAATGCGACATGGCATGGGAGCTGTCAGCCTGTGGCACTGCTGAGGTGCTATGGAAGACCAGGATGCTTCAATAGAGGCCTTCAGCTCTTCTGCATTGTTCGGTTTCATGTCTCTCATCTTTCTCTTGGCAATGCCCCATAGATTCTCTATGGGGTTCAGGTCAGGCGAGTTTGCTGGCCAATCAAGCACAGTAATCCCACAGTCATTGAACCAGGTTTTGGTGCTTTTGGCAGTGCGGGCAGGTGCCAAGTCCTGCTGGAAAATGAAGTCAACATCCTCATAAAGCTCGTCTGCAGAAGGAAGCATGAAGTGCTCCAAAATCTCCTGGTAGAGGGCTGCGTTGACCCTGGACTTAATGAAGCACAGTGGACCAACACCAGCAGATGACCTGGCTCCCCAAATCAACACAGACTGTGGAAACTTCACACTGGACTTCAAGCATCTTGCAGTGTGTACCTCTCCATTCTTCCTCCAGACTCTGGGCCCTTGGTTTCCAAATGAGATGCAAAAGTTGCTCTCATCAGAAAAGAGGACTTTGGACCACTGAGCAACAGACCAGTTCTGTTTTTCTTTAGCCCAGGTAAGACGCTTCTGATGTTGTTTGTTGTTCAGGAGCGGCTTGACAAGAGGAATACGACATTTGACGCCCATGTCCAGGATCCATCTGTGTGTGGTGGCTCTTGATGCACTGACTCCAGCCTCAGTCCACTCCTTGTGAAAGTCCCCAACACTTTTGAATGGCCTTTTCCTGACAATCCTCTCCAGGCTGCAGTCATCCCTGATGCGTGTGCACCTTTTTCTTTCACACTTTTCCCTTCCACATAACTTTCTATCAGTGTGCTTTGATACAGCATTTTGGGAACATCTCAACTTCTTTTGCAATTACTTTTTGAGGCTTTCCCTCCTTATGGAAGGTGTCAATGATGGTTTTCTGCACAACTGTCAGGTCAGCAGTCTTTCCCATGATTGTGATTCCTACTGAACCAGACTGAGAGACTATTTAAAGGCTCAGGAACCCTTTGCAGGTGTTATGGCTTAATTAGCTGATTAGAGTGGGACATTTTGAGCCTAGAATATTGAACCTTTTCACAATATTCTAATTTTCTGAGATTGTGGATTTGGGGTTTTCATGAGCTGTAAGCCATTATCATCTCAATTATGACACATCACGGCTTGAACTATCTTGCTTTACATGTAATGAGTCTATCTCATATATTAGGTTCACCTTTTAAGTTGCATTACTGAAATAAATGAACTTTTGCACAATCTTCTAATTTTTCGAGTTTCACCTGTATTTTCACTGCATCTTAACCAATGATTTTTGTTGTAGGGAGAAATCAAGCATTGTTGACATAAAGGAAGAACAAGGGACAGAAGAGGACAAATTAACATCCCAGGTACATTTCTACTTTGAATGTAATTTATGTTTAGGATAACACAACATGTTTTTAGAGTTTTCTTGATAAATGATTTATATGAAAGGATTTTACCTGAAATAAATCAGTTGTTTATTTATTTTTACAAAACTTTAGCAGTAATCCAGGCTTTATAACATAGATAATTCTACATATATGTAGAATTATCTAGGCTTGCTTATATTGTGTTTAGTAATCCTGTGGTTTTGGATGTTCAATTGGAGAAAAATTCATTTTATTCTTGATAGAGCTGTTTATCTTTAAATGGAGCAAGCCACTAATTTAATACCATTGTGTTCTTATCGTTTTATTAAAGCAATGCCAAACACTTTTAGAGGCAGGATAGAAAAACAATTACTAAAACAAATGTCATCCCAAGTAGTTACAGTGTTTTAATCCCATTAAGTAGATACATGGATGAGAGACTAGAAATCCCACAAAATGCTTAATGCAATCATTTTATAGAGAGGGTGGTATGTTAATGATGGAAGCAGTAAACTCATAATGTCTAATGTTTTAAATTGTTCAATTGCAGAAAAAAGAGGCAACAAGTCATCAGCTTGTCATTCCGCATGCAGTAACTGGAAATTACAAATCAAATATATCTCTGGAGAAAATTACTTCTACTGTTACGGAGCAACCTAATAACTTTCAGAAAGAGGAGCTGGATCTGAAAAATGAGGAGTTGAATGTTTGCGTTGCAGTACAATCGCCAATATTAGATTCTACTTTGAATGAAAATCCTCCTAATTGCAGCAGCAACTCTTCGGGTTCTAGTGGTATAATTTCACCAACACCACAGGTAGTGGTGAACAGAAGGCAAGCCTTTGTTACTTTGGAAAAATTCAATGATTCAGAGAACAGACCTTTCAGTCCTTCAGTTTTTAGTAATATTTCTATAACATTAACAAGCCCGTTTATCCAGAAGGAAAGCACAGTTGCTACAGATGTCTCTTCAAAAGAAAAGTCAAATCCGAAGAATAAAGATGGTGTAAAACTTAAAGCAAGGAAAACTGTCACCGGCACAAAGAGGACACGCTTAGAATTCTTAAATGCTCTAGAGATGTGTGTCAAATCAAAAAGAACCAAAGAAGAAAACATTCCTGATCCAAAACTGCAGTCTACCAACATGGTTGAGATGAAGATGTCAAGTCTTAGACAAAATAAAACTTTGGATGACAAAGCTTCAGAACAAATGCAATCAGACCAAGAGGACAAAAATCAGGTTTCTGATACGCATTGCGAGGATAAGCAGGAATTATCTGTGGACACGGAAATAGCAGAACATTTGCTAGATGATCAGTCTCAGATCCCCAGTATGGCTGACAGCACAACAATGGAGAGTAAAGTCCTCCTGGACATAGTTAAAAATGAAAATGTGGGACCAAATGTAGAGCACAAAGAGAATACATCTCCAGAAATAGAAGTTTGTGAAGAAGCAGTGTCTGTTGTTAACCAAAGCCCTGACATTTCACTTAACCAAAAAACATTAAGACGTTCTTTAAGACGAAAAGCAGAAACTGATGGAGCTGTGGATAGCCAAGATAAAGAGAACAATCAACAAAAGGCCAAGCAAAAAGATGATGAAAAGATTCTGCCAAAGAAGATGGCACAAAATAGGGAGACTTCTGGGCAAAAAGAAAAGGCTGAAAAACTTGAAAAAGCAACAGATGCACCAATATGTGGGCCTGTAAACAATGCTACAGAAAATATAAACTCTAAAGAGAACAGTCAGGAAGAGTTGGACATGAGTCTTGGGAAATCTGAATGCAATGACCATGAAGAACCAGGCTCAGATACATCTGTGGAGAAACTAAAAGTATTTCCACGGTATCATACAAGAAGAGCAGCTTCACAAGGATTACTTACCAGTATGGAAAACTCTGAAACTGATATCGGTGAAACAAGAGAGGAAGGAGCAAAGAGGAAACGGTCTGGGAAATTGAAAAAAAATGATTCCCCTGGGAACCAAGCAAAGGAAGAGCCAGACAGCCAAGAGCTTTCTTCACAAGCTGCAGTAGAAATCCAAACCAGGTCAGTAGGAAAGCAGAAAATATCTTCTGGCGGAGAGACAGAAGTGCCTTCGATGTCTACTAATACAAAGGAAATCGGTACAAAGGAAGAAAAAGGTACTTCCCCGTTACGTCCCAGTGTGAACCTTAAAGAAAATGCAGGGTCGACATGTCCTAGAGCCTCTTCAGATCCAGGGAGAAAGCCTGCTAACAGGAAGGAATCCACTTCGGAGCCTATTTTAGAAAACCGACAGGAAACTAATACTCTCGACACAAGTTCTGTGGTACCTAACAACTCAAATGGCGTTTCAAAAGAGGATGCTTCTGCTACCGCTGTCAGTGCCTTTCCTTCACCCAAGAGATTTCTAGATGTGTCCGAATGCCAGCACAAAAGAAGCAAACGGACAAGGAAATCCAGGAGCTGCGACTGCTGTGATGAAAAGCTGTCTCCCCAAGTGGAAAAAGTATCCCCTGAACCGAAAAAGGCAAGCACTCCAGAAACAAAGTTAAAAGAACCAAGGAAGAGCCTCAGTAAAGTAACCGTGCCCCTGACCTTGATCCCTGTTGCTGAAGAGATTCATTTGGCAGAGAGGCTGAGCATAGAACCTTGTGCAACAAGCACCCCGCTGCCTTTTGTTAAGGATGCCGCTGATCGGAAAGAGGCCAGCAATGTTGCTGAATCTGTCAGTGGCGTCCCAAGAAACAATACGCCAAACGTTGAACCGGAGAAATTAGCATGTGTCCAAAATGAAAGTGACAAGCCAGTTGCAGGAATTCCGGATGTTCCTTTCTCTGAAACAATTTCAGAATCCAGATCAATGGATTCTCATTCAGAAGAGCTTAGTGCTCAGGGTCAGCCTTTAGAACCAGGTTCGGTGGATTCTCATCCAGAAGAGGTCATTGCTAAGGATCAGGGTTTAGAACCAGGTTCAGTGGATTCTCATTCAGACCAAGTCAGTGCTAAGGATCAGGGTTTAGAACCAGGTTCAGTGGATTCTCATTCAGAAGA